AAAAAAAAAAAAAATTGGGGGAAAGCCCTGTTACCGTCTGAGTTGTATTCCCAGCGACCCCTGTAATGCCTTCCTTGCATTACAGATGGATGAGTGCATTTATAAATCAGTGAATTAACGAACACTGAGCTTACTCTTGAATGAAACCCCCAATTTTCTTTCATGCACCCTTCTACTTCTAATTCTATGCTTGTATGTTTGATTTGGAGGACAGCAGCAGGACCTTGCTTTTGTCCCTGTTACCCTTGATGTCGTCAGTGCCCTTCAGTCTTCTAACATTTTCAGATCGTTCTGGATACTAAGTGTGTCTTTGCATGTATTGTTTCTCCCTCAACACCACGCCATCGGTACTCATCTGAGTATTTAAATGGGATATATGGTGCTCACATTCATATAAAATATTCATAAGATATTTTTTTGAAAAGGTAACTTCCTGGAGGTAGAGTTGCTGGGTCAAAGGGTAGATGTATTTTATATTCTGATAGATAATGCTATATGGGCTTCCACAAAGATTGCGTGAATCACCTTAAGTGTCGTCTATGTAGACAGCACTCCTGCTCGTACGAGACAGAGCCCAAAAGAAGGTTAATTTGAAGCACTAGACCTGCGTATGCAACTCTGATGTCATCTGATGGGACCTTCCGGTTTTGTGTTCAAAAAATTTTCATGTAAAATTATCTAAAATAGGAGGAAAACACTTATTTGGATCAGTAATCCTGCCTCATAGAGGTCTTTGTGTAGTTGCTATGTATATAGTATTTTCGGTATCTGGTTTTATAATACCTCATTTTACCCAAGTAAACTTATATTTTCTCTAGTAGCTTTCTCCGTGGATATTAAACTCTCATTTGGGTCTGAATTATGCTCTTGTGGCTGATGATGTTAAGCAGCACATCAATTAAGGGATTTGTCTCAATTTAATGGGTCATTCAAATTCACAGGCATCTCTCCTGCTTTGATTGTTACTGTTAACTAGTTTGTTGTTATGATTTCAACCCAACATTCTCGAAGGGATTTTTTTTGTATTTCTGATTAAATTAACAAGAGTGATGGATGAACTGCTACTTTTATCATTTTTTTACTGAATCATAATTGGCAGAGAATACTACATTAGTTTCAGTTATACAAGATAGTGATTCAGTATTTTTATACAGGACAAAAAAATGAATGCCATGATAGGTCTAGTCACCATCTGTCACCATACAAAGTTATTGCAATATTACTGACTGTATTCCCTATGCTGTACCTTACATCTCTGTGTTTTTTGTTTTTTGTTTTTTTACTACAAAGAAGTTTGTACCCCTTAATCTAACCTTTCAGCCATTTGCCTGCCCACCTCCCCCTGCCCGCAGCAACTGCCAGTTGTATCTAGGATTCTGCTTCTGTTTGCTTTTATTTGTTTTCGTTTTTTTAGATTCTACACATAAGTGAAATCATACAGCATTTGTCTTTGTCTGACTGATTTAACTTAGCGTAATACCCTCCAGGTCCATCGATGTTGTGTGTGTGGCAAGATCTCATTCTTTTCTATGGCCGAGTAATATTCACGTGTGTGTATCATATCTTCTTTATCCATTCGTCTGTTGGTGGACACTTAGGTTGCTTCCATATCTTGGCTACTGTAGGGATACACATGTACTTTTATCATTTTGGATGTCGTCTGCTGTGTGCAGGTAATGGATACTCTTCGTCTGGTTTCTTTTACTCAACACAACGTCCATGTTGTGTATATCAGTTTATTCTTTTTTTCTTTTCTTTTTTTTTTTTTATTGCTGTGCAGTGTTGTATGGTACGAACAGGTCACAACTTGTTGAGCTACTTTGCTGTAGAATGGATTGTCTCAGCTTTTGGTTATTCTGAATAAGGATGCTAGGCACATTTTTGTGCATGCCATTTGGTGAACATGTCATGCTGTCTCTTTTAATAGCAAGCAGAATTGTTTTAATCTCACAAAACTGTCTGCCGAATTTATTCCTTATCTTGCTTACTTTCCCATACTTACCTTTCCCTGAGGTGGTAATCTCTTAAACTCCATTCGAGGCAGAAGGCTTTGGTTTGGGATCATGAGCATAGTAGTGGCAAGGAAACGATATTTGGTATGTCACTGCTGGAGGGCAGGTTAGATGTGGCATGCGACCCCTCATCTGCATAGAATTCGGTAGGAATATCTGTTCCTCAAAATTGGTATTTGACCTTCTCTCAGACAAAGTCTAAATATGTCTCCTAAGGTAAATCAGGAGATTTCATTTTAGGCAGATGTCACTGTGATACGGCGGAAGATAACTACTGTTTCCAACTCCAGTGCTTGTCGTATTCCCGGTCTTTGAAGCCCTCCCCTAATCACCAGCAGGAGGGTCCCAGTCCCCAGTGGCTCATCCATGTGGCCTGTTACTGCCAGGCTGCCTCACTTAAGACCATTTGCTGCCTTTGTTAGAATTACCACTAGCTGTATCATGCATGTAGGGTACAGTATGCATGTGCATATCTTTTGAACACAGATTTATGTGTAGTAATTACAGTTAATAGTGGGAATTCGTTTTCTTTAGTCAATTTATATGCTGTAATTTGGGAACTGTTGCTAGTGACTAAGAAATTTTACCTTCTATGGTAGCTTTCATCTGTGATATTTGGAGATATTTGAATGGCTAATCATCAAAGTATTAGTAAATAGCTTTTACTATATCACCTGGTTGAAACCATGGTTATTTAGTATAATTTTTGAATTAAAATAATTTTTCATTTGATCATATTCTGAGACCCTTAAGATATAGATTAACACTGCAATCTCTCCCCCCCTCCACCGTGATTTATATATATTACCAAACATGATTTATATGTAATTCATTCAGTATTATTTCCTTTTTCTAACAAAATGGCCTTTTCCTTGTGTTTAAAATGTAAAAAATTATCCTATTTTTTTCTTTCTGTTCTCAAAAATCCACTGTGGGTGCTATCGCTTTTGCTGATACACAGCTTTATCAGGTATGACTCCTAAGTGTCATGTTGGACTCTACAGATATGTTGTTGAAATTTCCAGGGGAAAAACTGCAGATTGACTTTTCTACGTTCGTTTGATCAGTATTTGTGAATATCTCATGAAAATTACTGGCCTTTAAGGTTTAGAGTCGGCTACGTATCAGAAACAACTTTGCCAAATTTATCACACCTAATATTCCAAAAAGGAGTTTCAAGTGTTTTCTTCAAAAATATTATTGATATTTTTCTCTGGCTTTCTTCATCATTAATCTGTGTAGGCTTCTTTGCGTTTTTCTTGTTTATATGTTGTATATGTTTGTATACTTGTTAGTGTTATTCTTAACATATATGATTTTTACAACTGATACATATTTCTAACCAGATTTTTTCCAAATTGTGTTCCATGAAATACATTAATCTGAGATGCTAAGTAGACTGGGACAAAAAATATTGTAAGATACGTTTATTCTATCCCTCTTTGAAAGATTCACAGTACACATCAGCATATTAAAGGTTCTGGTGTTATGCGGTAAAGAAATGTGCTTCCCTTTGTTTGTCTCAGCATCTTCTAGAAACACTTGAGTGTGCAGCACTTCCTAACACACTGGGTGTTCTGGGGACACCTGGGGACCTCCTGCAAAGAACTTAGTGGAGCTGTCTGTCCCTGTAGTGTTTTAACACATCAGACAATAGTGACTAAATTGATTAAATTTCCAAGACATTAAAGCACTTAGCTGAATTGTATTTGGGTCATATTTTGTAGAAATTATGTTTTGAAGTACAGCATTGATTTTTTTTTCCCCGTATCCTCTTTCAGTACTTTTGTCGACCTTTAAAAATTTGTAAAACTGCTGTTGGAAATGCTGCCTTTTTGTAGGAAAGAGGTATTTTTTGGCTGCTGTTGTCATTGCTTGCTTAATTGTTTCTCTTCTGTAAGAATTTGCTTTTATCCTTAAAAAAAACACGTTTACCATTTCAGATAGCGTGACACAGGAAAGGAGGCCTCCCAAACTTGCCTTTATGTCAAGAGGTGTTGCGGACAAAGGTTCATCCAGTCATAATAAACCAAAGGCTACAGGTATGGATCAGTAGGCTACGGTTCTTAGATATTTACACGCTATCTGATTTGCCATAGCATTGAAAAAAGGTTGAAAGGTTTTACTCCTCAGTGTACATGTAGGCTCTCTTCTTCCCAACGTGTTTAGTATTTTACCAAAAATTGTTTATAGATGCTCTTGCTAAAGCCAAGAGTTCCCAGCCTTTTTTTAGGCGATGAAAAGTTTTCCGGGAGGACCTTGTTGTCTTTTGTTGGTTTCTGTCAGCTGGTTTTTGGAAGCCCCTACCTGTGACATTTGAACCTCGAGTTTAGAGTCGCAACTGTACAGAAGAACCATATCTGGATAATGTTAGATGGGATAAAGCATATCGGGAGTAATTATGTGGATTTTGCTAACAAAATGTGGCACAAGTTAAATTCCAAACTGCTAAGCAAGAATTTTTGTCTCTTTTCCAGAAACTCCCTCACAATGCATGTGGAGTTCTTCGCGTTTTTCTTTGGCTTCCACATATTTTATAGTTTTAAAGGATGGTAGTTCTACAAGCGAAACAGCTCATTTAAAAAGCTGTGAGAATGTTTGTTAACTCAGGAGAAGAATATTGTTTCCTCAGTTATCTGGTGAACAAAACTTGTCTTGGCCCATTTTAAAGGAAATTGTATTTTAGGAAGTATTTTATGTGACCCTGGACCTGGGGCGACTTAGGATTAAATAGGACACACACGTAATAGTTATCTTTTAAGTCAACCTGTAGATCTAGATAGGATAGCTCACACGTGTTATTCTCACTTAAATATAAATAGCCTACAGATTTTTCTGAAGACATGTGCGTTACTTGTGTTGTAGCAGATCTTAGTTATAAGCATAAAGTATAGAGCTATCTGCTTTAAATTGAAAAGTTAAAATCAGATTTTTTATGGTTTCTAGAGACCCCCCTGGTCGCACTTACAGCATTTCTTCTTAGTACTGAGGCAAGGTAATGCCTTGAAAGGTCTGTAATGTGGCCACACTCACTCTTTCTTACGTTAATAAATCTAATATAGAAAAAAATAAATCTGCTTCCTGTTTTCAAAGACGTGAAGCAGTGAAGCAAGGAATTTGATGACCGAGAATTCCCAACTGTTTAAACTTTATATTTTTTAAACTTAATTTGTGCATTGATTTAGGTCTACAACATTTAAAGATCACTTTCTTCCGAAAGGAACTGTCTTAAATTAACAGGTTAAATTTGGGAACTAACAGGTTCATCAGGGGAAATTGGGGAATGGTGCTGTTGACATTTGGAAATAAACCATAGTACATGAAGTAATTTTTAAAAGCAGTTGGTCTTAAAAAAAAAAAAAATAGCAGGCTTTTCTTTTAAACTTATTCCTGTTCCCCTCCTATATTGATTCTTGGGTGGAAGAGTTTTTTGACATTGCCAAAATGGTTACCAAATTTTTAAAAGTTGAAGACGCTAATAAAATACATTGCGTTTGTATACATCTATTGCTTTCTTAAGCAATTGTTAACATCATATGTATGTTAATTTCTCTTAGGGAAAAACTTTCACACCATATTGACTTTATTTTTAAAAGAAACTTTTCTTGATCCATAGGACCTACCTCAGACCCTGGAAATAGAAACAGATCTGAATTATTTTATACCTTAAATGGATCTTCTGTTGACTCACAACCACAATCCAAATCAAAAAACACATGGTACATTGATGAAGGTAATCTGTAGTTTTAGTGTTCTTTTAGCTCGTCAGAAAAAAAATGGCTTTTTCACCAGTGTATATAGTTTTGGAAACAGAATGAGTAGAATATTCTTTATTAATATGGCTGAACTAAAATATTGTACACAATGTGAACTGCACTGCTGTTAAGACTAATACAGCATTCAGAAAATGTATTAGTAGCTCGTTCTCTTCCCTTACCTGATCTTTAGGGTGGATTTCTAGAATCAGTGGAATCATTTAAAAACTTTTCTGTCTCGTCTTTCTGTGTCTCTTTTAAAAACACTCCCTTTTTGCCTTCCCTTGGTTCAGGGACATCATTTTTTTTCAGGTTTATTATTTACTTAGTTCTTCCCTTCAACAAATATTTATTGAGTGCCTACTATGTGCCAGACACTCTTCTAGGCACAGAGGCTATAACGGTGAGGGAGGAATAGACATACATGGTCCTTGCCCATTTGGAATTTATAATCAAGTTGTTGAAATAGGCATTAATCAGACCATCACAGAAACAGCATTGCAATTATGATGAGTGCAGTGAAGGTACTTGATACTGTGAGAGTCTATTAAAGGTGGATTTTACTTATAGGGACTCAGAGATGTTTCTCTGAGGAAGCAGCATGAGCTTAAGTTTACCAGAGGAGTGGGAGATAACACAGCGAAAGGGGACAAAGAACCTTCTCGGCGGAGAGGATGGCATATGTAAAGGCGTCATGGAAAAATGGAGCGAGCCTGTGTTTGCTGAAGGCTAAAAAGAGCCAGAGTAGCTAGACCAAAGAGAGAGGCAGAACATTTTATGAGAAAGGCAAACAGGGCCAGGGCATGTGGAGCCTGGTGTGCTCTATTTAAAGGAAAAGAGGAAGCCACGGAAGGATTTTCAGCAAGGGGTGACATGACCAAGTTTGCCTTTTGAAAATCATTCTGGCTGCAGGGTAGACAGTGGCTCGAAGCGGGGACCATGTGGCTACAAGGGCACCGCTGAAGGTTGTTGCAGGGTCAGAAATAGATTCCAGCAGCTAGGGTGAGACTTGTTGGGGGAAGGGATGCCGGGGCGGGGTGGGGGGTGGGGAGGGGATGGTGTAGGAGATATTTAGGAAGTGACTTGAGGAGACTCACAGATGCACTGAGAATGAGAGCTGGGGAATAAGAGGTGTCAGTGATACCCCTGGTTTCCCGGCTTGCAGGCTTCTCGAATTGTAGAGGAAGGTGATGAATTTGATTTTGAGTATGTTGAGCCCCAGGGGCCCCTTAAACTTCCCAGACGTGATTTATCAAATAGACAGTTGGATATATAGGTCTGTGGCTGAGAAGAAAGTTACGAGCTCTCTGGAGACGTACATCTGCAGGTTGCCCTCACATATTTGGTGATTAAAGTTTTGTGAATAGTGTCACCTGAGGGGAGGGTGTGGGGTAAGACTGAACCCTGAGGAATGTAGTGGCTGGGAGGAAGAGAAGTCTTCAAAGGAGACAGAAAAAGCCACCAGAGGGAGGTGAGGAAAATCAGGAAGTTGTTGGGTCAAGAAGTCATGGAGCTGGCAGCCTTGAATGCTCCTGAGAGGGCAAGTAAGGCGAGGATCACACAAATACCTGCTGCATTTAGCCAACGGAAGCCATGATGACCTCAGTTACGCTTCTGTGGAGTGAGGAAATGGAGACGTGAAGTTTGGGCTTCATCCTGGACTCCGCTCTCTCATGAGTCACATCCAGCCGTCACGGAGTTTTCTGGATCTCCTCCTCTTCGGTATCAATAGACTCTTTCCCGTTTTCTTCATTTCTGCAGCCACTGCCTCCGTTCAAATCCTTTTTTGCTGTCTAGTTAATATAACGGCCTTCCACCTGGTTTGTCTACCTCAGCCTTGTTCCTTCTGAATCGATTCTGAACAATAATAACCATCCTCGCCACCGTCTTTGTGGTCACTACCACCATCACCACTGCGGCCGACGTTTCTTGACGACTTATTACGCCAGGCATTGTGTTACACCCTTTGTATGCATTATTTTGTCCTCATAACAACGTTATGAGGTAGGTATTTTTACTTTCTCTTTTGTTACCGTGGCTAAATATCTTGCCCAAGGCCACACAGCTAGTGTTAGTGGCGCCAGTCTTCCAACCCAAGTCTGTGTCACACCTGACGCTTTTGATCACTACACTATGTTTTTCTTCACATTGCTCTTCGACTGCTTTTTCTGAAGATATCTCTGCTCATGTCTCTCCTTTGGTTCATGTCTGTTAATTTTTCCCTAGCCCTTGGGAGGTAAAAATGCGGATTCCTTAGTTTGGCCTGCCCGGACCCTTCATGGCATAACGTCTTAGTCGTCTCTCATTTGTCGTGCACTCCTGCTCCCGCCATGCTTGGAGTGGGGCCATTTTGGAATGTGCCATACTTTCTCTTTTCTTGGCGCCTGTTGTTCCTCTTGCCTGGAAATCCTTCTTCCTATTCCTCCCACTCTATGCTTTGGCTTACTTCTGTCCATCTGTTCAATCTCAGCTTGGGTATTATTTTCTCCTGGAAGCCTTTCCTGTCTCTCCTAGGTTAGGTGAGGTGCCATCGTAACTGTTTGTCGCCTGTCTCCTCTGCCAGACTGGAGTTCCAAGTGCCTCGCACAGGGCTTGGCACGCAGTACGTCTAGGAACTATGTGCAAATGAAATGAAAATAAGAATTTAAGAGTACTGTAGAACTCTGTAGTGACTTTTTAGCTATCATATGGATTATCCACAAATGTAACAGTCCAAGCCCACTGTCAACATCACTTGGGCTTAGATACTCACACGGGAAATGACTTGAGTGAGCTCTTAGATTTTGTCTTCTCTGTGCCTTCATTTCTACCTGAGTAGGGTGTTGTGAAGCTAGGCAGTCACAGGGCCTCATCAATCCCCAAGACTTCTTCCTAGCCACAGAGCAGGAATCTTCGTTAAATGATGCCTCCCCAGGAGATTGTCTCTTGACAGACTGCTTTTGTTAAGGTCTGGCCCTTTTGTTAACTGTTGTTAGCTCTCTCAAAAACCTTGGGAGTGCCCAAACAACAAGGGTCTTACTGGCAGCGTCTTAGGGTGAGTCACAGCCCTGCTGGCTTCTGCATGTGCATGGCCCATCCAGAGTGGTTAGGGCACAGCCCGGCTCTCTCACGCTGTTGTTCCTCGTAGCCTCGTGAATGCTTTTCCTACGAGCTTGTTTCTTTCTAGGGAAGGGAAACTGGTACAAGCTGGGTTTTGTCATAATCTAGGTAACATTGATTCTTCAGGTTTATGCTATAATTGTATCCTTAGACAGTTTCTGTGGTGTGAGAGAATATTTTTAACTTCTTGATTCTAGTCTAACATTGTATAATAAGTTTATATAAGAATATTGATCCTAAGTGGGATATGTAAAGTGATGAAATCTACATGGAGTAGGCCTTCATCCTTAAATTAGAAAATAGAAGTGATATCAGTGTGAAAAGAATATTTCTTTTCTATCATTAATTTCACTTGTACGTTTAAAAAGCTTTTTTTTCGGGGCATCTGGGTGGCTCAGTCGGTTAACTGTCTGACTTTGGCTCAGGTCACGATCTCGCGGTTTGTGGGTTTGAGCCCCACATCAGGCTCTGTGCTGACAGCTCAGAGCCTGGCGCCCACTTTGGATTCGGTGTCTCCCTCTCTCTGCCCCTCCCCCACTTGTGCTCTGTCTGTCTGTCAAAAAACAAACATTTAAAAAAATAAATAGAAGGGCGCCTGGGTGGCTCAGTCGGTTAAGCGGCCAACTTCGGCTCAGGTCATGATCTCACGGTCCGTGGGTTCGAGCCCCGCGTCGGGCTCTGGGCTGACAGCTCAGAGCCTGGAGCCTGTTTTGGATTCTGTGTCTCCCTCTCTCTGACCCTCCCCCGTTCGTGCTCTGTCTCTCCCTGTCTCAAAAATAAATAAATGTTAAAAATTTTTTTTTAAAATAAACAGAAAGCTTTTTTTCTACAACATTTGATTTATGCATTCAGTTTTTTCTTAAAACAAATATCGAGTCTTTTCTTGTGTTAGTGGCTATACCAAATGCTATGGATTCAACCACAAATCCACATGAAAAACCATAACAAAATTCCTGTTCTATGGAGCTGGTTGGTATTCTGGTTGGTATGACACATAGTGAACATTTAGAAAGACAAGGTAATCATCAATTGTGACATGTGCAGTGAAGGAAATGAACAAGGCATGACAGCAGCTGGTGGGGAGCCAGCCACCATAGAGTGTTTTGGAAAAGTCTCTTTGAGGAAAGGGTATTTGCGTTTGAGGTCTGGATGATGTGAATGAACCTGTCAGAGAAAGAGCTTGGGAAGAACATTCTAGGCAGAAGAGATAGTAAAGGCAAAGGCCTGAGGTGAGAAAGAGCATTCGAGGAACAAGAAGTAGGCCAGAGTGGCTGCAGCATGGGAAGCAAAGAGAATAGGTGTGTACAGTGAGTTCGGATAGGTGGGTGGGAGCTGGGTCATCCAGGACCTTGCAGGTCTCAGTGAGCAATTTAGTTACCTGTTATAAGAATGATGGAAAGCCACTGAAAGTTTTTAAACAGGGGGATGATATAAGATCATGTAAGATGGTTACATTTTAAAAAGATCTCTCTCAGAGTTGTGTGGTGAATAGTTTGGCCAAGAAGGGGGACAGACCAGGAAAGAGACTGGTTACAGGGCAAAAGATGATGCCCTGTGGCTTAGATTAGGGAGATGATAGGGGTGAAGGGGAGAGGATGAATTTGAAATATATTTTGGAAACAGACCCAAATACTTGATGGATTTGGCTTTTGGGCTGGAGGGGTTGAGGGTTTGAGAAAGAAAAGAATGACTTTTAAAAGTCCTATATTTAATATCATTACTAAAGAATCTTAAATGGATAAGGTATAAAGAACAATAAGAAAAGAAGTACATTGAACACCCATGTAGTCACTACTCACTGTAAGAAAAACATGATCATTGCCCTTGAAATTCCTTGGTGCCTCTTCCTAGAGCCCTCTTTTCACGCTCTCCTCTGAGCTTCCATCATCTTTAATTTATTCTCCTGGTTTTCATGATAACTTTCTAAGTTTGTGTATCTAGACAGTATAGTGTTAGTTTAGCATGTTTCTGAGTTTTATACAAACGAATCAGCCTGTGTGTATGCTATGTAGTTTCCCCCTCAATATTATGTTCCAAGATGCACCACAGTGGTTTATGTGATTATAATTTTTTGTTTTCATTGCTGTATAGCATTCCACTCCATTTCATTCCATTGCTGCAAAATATATAAATATACCACAGTATTCGTCCCCATTCGACCATTGATGGACATTTGAATTGTGTTTATTTTCCTGCTATGATTAACAGCTTAGCCGTTAACCTTCTTACACATGTTGAGGCTATATAACCAGGAATGGAATTATTGGGTCATGTGATATGCACATCTTTCCTTTACTAAATCATGCCATGCTGTTCCCAGAGTAGTTATACCAGTTGACGCTTCCGTCAGCATTTTGGGAGGGTATCGTTTTTCCTCATTCTTACCAACAGTTAATATGCTAAAAACTTTAACTTTTGAAATGGCATCTCACATTGCTTGTGACTTTCTTTTATCTACTTTATTGTGAGGGCAAGAATCTTTTCGTTGATTCGTTGGTGGTTTGGGTATCTTCTTCTGAATTGCCTTTTTAAGCCTTTTGTCCATTTCTTCTTAGTTGTGGTTTTTTTTGGGGGGGGGTCTTTTTTATATTGGTTTATAGACCTTTATCAAAATTGAATCCTTTGTCAAATACATGTATTTTAAGTGTTTTCTCCTTGTTTGGCTGATATTTTCATTCTTGCTATAATGCCTTTTAATAAGTAGCTCAGTTTCATTGTGATCATATTTGTCAGTCTTTTTCTTTATGATTTGTATACTTTTGTTCAAGAAATTTCTCTCTGCTGTAAAATCAGGAAGAACATTCTTCTGTATTGTCTTCCAGAAGTTTATGGTCTTGCCTTTCACATTTGTCTTTAAGCTACCTGGAAATGATTTTCGTGTAGAATATATTCAGTACAAGTCCAATTTAATTTTTTTTTAATGTATGGGTAATTGATGATCTCAATATTATTTATTGAGAAGTTCATTCTTTCCCCACTGATCTGCAGTGCCTGGCTGGCAACTGTAATAGTTCTTTTAAGAAAATAACTTTTGGTTTTGCTTCTCTTTTTATGTGTTTGTTTTCTCTTAAATTATTTTCTGCTTTTGTATTTATTCTGGCTTTGATCCTCTTTAGTGTACGTTTGTTTTCTCTTCCATTAATTTCTGTTTTGTGTTTATTCTTTCCTTGTGACTGACTTTTTGGGCAGTTAATCTGTTCTTTTAACTTCCTAAGTTGTATTCTGAGTTCATTACTATTCTTTTTTTTCCCTGAAATAAACTATGCAGTTTATAAATTTCTTTTGTAAATACTGTGTTAGCTGTGTTCCACGAGTGTTTGTTGCTTCTTTCTTTTTCTCTTTTTTCTTTATTTTAAAAATTTACATAGTCATTTCTTTTTTGATCCTTTAGCTATTTAAGAAGCATCTTTTGGGGTGCCTGGCTGGTTCAGTCTGTTAAGCATCAGAGTATTGGTCTCCACTGAGGTCATGATCT